ACTCATACGTAATTATATATGTATAGTTAAGTGAATTTGTAATTATACATGCCATAATATATAATAATAATTGTATTATGGCTTTCATATCGAACTATCATAACTGTCATCATTTCTTTAGCAACCATACGTAAACACAATCGCACGTCTTATATCTTAGAAACCGTCTAACGATCAGCATCAAATATTCGATGTTTTTTTGAACAAATGCCATTATCGAATATCCGATCAAAACAATTATTTTATATGCCATAGCTAGTCGAGGCATGCACGCACTTACACCATAGGTAATGGTAAAATTGCGCAATACTTCATGTATGTAGATATGAAGGTCGCTTGATTGCGTTGAAATGAAAAATTGTTCAAATTAGTCTCAATCATGCATCAAATTATTACGTTTCTCAATCACACTTCACGTCACTCAACAAACAATAGAGACAATGCCCCGTCGATGGATGAAGAAGCCAATAGACATATTTATGCAATCGAACCGAACAATGTACCGGTATTCGGAATCAATATTGAAGATGTCTTCATTGTAACACATTGCACTTCCAAAGAAACGTTGTCCGTTTTTATTCTCGGCCGTTAAAGGATGCAGCAGGTCGTAAAACTTCCTTCAAACAAATACAAGTAACATTCTCGAGGAAAACGAACAGTTGTAAAGTTTACGAGATTGATAAATATTTGGAAGGCGTTCCCTCTATCAGAGAATAAATAAAAATCAACGAACGCCCTCACCTTGGACGCAATGACAAACTGATTAATCTAGACTAAGTAACTTGAGTCATACAAGACACCGATTATACGTCTTACCATAACTTGAAATGTCAGTATTAAGAAAATACTGGGTTGGCTTAGAGCGGACCTACTTAATAAAGCAAACACTACAATTTTCGTATCCTTGGAAAATAGACAACGTAAATCTATGTCGAGGCTTAGCAATCCTTTATGTGTAAGTTATGTTCATTGGCCTGATGCCAGGATCCGCTTTCCTAATAGACTTTCTCCGTTGCATGCAAGTAAACAGCCAACAGGACTAAGATAGCGACGGAAATAACCGACGACTCGGACAAGACGCCATATTGCGAAAATTGTTTAATGACTTCATGTTCCTACATTACGAGTTACGATTATTACCATGCCTGTGTAAATATTAAGTTCTTCGGTAAACGATAAGTTTCTTTGAATTTGCATACGGCTTTGTGCAGATCAGTTAATTCTGAGAACATTACTCGTACTTCGTGCATTATAAACTTTGGTTTGATCATTGACGTGTACCTGTAATTCTTCAGAAATAAAGTTATACGTACGATTAGTTGAACAACTAACTGTACTCCTATGTTACTCCAAAATACACAACCGCATATAACCATTATGACATAATTAGATACCGTAAACTCAATTCCGTATCCGTATTGTCTATGAGTTTCTCATACAAATTGCTGGCTATTACGCGAAATTGCAACTACGGTAGTAGGTGACCGCCCTGGTATTTCTTTTTCTATTATCGAAACGTAAGAAGTTCTCAGTATGTGTTCTAATTTTCATCATGATCTCATTAAAGATAAATTTCTGTCACACTTTTTTCTTTATATTTTATTTTATCTTATGTTCGGTTCGTGTTCCCGTTGTATTTTATTATTATCATTCATCATTAACCAGTGCATGGATGTTGAGGCTTAATTAAAACATTATTAGGATTATTATTTCGCTAAATGTTATTTGCATGATGTATTTAATAATTAAGTTTGCATTGGGTCCGCTTGTCGCGACGAATATCACTATCACTAGGTTATTAATTATTCATATTCAAATGCAGGTGTCTATCATGCAAATTATTAAATTATTCGCAAACTGGCCGGCATAAAGTCTTGTTCATATTGAATACAATGCAAAAACTTTCGACATTCTGATATCTAAAAGTTACAAAACTAGTATTTTAATAAAAACGTCGTGTAGTGAAATGTTAAATCCTGCGGTTGCCTCACTGCATTGCACGCGAAGTGCTAAATGCATGCGCAAGTGGCTTCCTTCAAGAAGCGGCTTACAGGAAGGGCAAGCTCATTAGAAAGTATAAGCAAACGATTGCATCACATACATAACTGGACAAGGATGCACCCAGTCCCTGATCGAGTCTAGCGAGATTATTGACGTTATGCACTCGGGATTCCATATAAGAAACCTGAAAGAGCATGTGAGGTTATACTGAGCGGGATTTAGTGCTGGTACCGAGGCTTGTTATTGAATTTAATCGTCCCCATCTTATAGTAGGCTCGATTTATATCTGATGACGATCATAACTCGGAGCGTCGTACGACTCATTTAGCTGGTGGAGCTGTATTAGTCCGCCATATCGCGGCTGCTGCGGACATGTCGTAATTAAACAGTACGAATGTTGGATTATTATTTGCATTGAGTATTCAGATAAGATTACTTGAAGGCTGACATGGGCTTTGATTGGATTGTAACAAGTTGTACAAGACTGGCGACATTCTTTAGTATCGCTGAGGTGTCTAATGGTGACTTGAAGTTGATGAGCCGTCGGAAGCCGACATGAAGTAATTAGTGCCATTTATAGCAGCTCAAGACTATCGACATATTAATGATCTCCCGTGATTAAGATGTTGACAATCGCACTGACACTCGATTACGTATAGGATAAGATTGAAAAGACTCTACTACATAACCATGATATTGAGTTCTTAAACAACTAATTCACAAAAAAATATCAACAGGCAAAGTTCAATACAAATCAACATGAAGTCAATAAAACCTACGATTGAATAGTAACTGGAATACGCACCTGGCATATGGCACCTGGACGAAATTAGCTCAAATAAAACACCTATTCCGCGAAATTAGTACATAAATCAAGTTCAACAACAATAGACGTATAAACACGATGAATCACTTTTCGACAAAACTCAATGTAAATGTTTCTTAATAATATAATACTTTGCAGTTTTTCATTAGCACAATGCGGTGTAAATCAACACAAGTTTCCTTGTTTTGGATATGAAGCCGCGCCTGACGCAGAGGTACACGCTCTCACCAGGCCCATGTTTTAAAAACATTTAGGAAACATCAAGACAGTCTTACAAACGTAATGTTATTTAAGTTAGGTAACCTGGACGTTATGAAAGCATTGATTTTAATGATAAATTAATTAACTAGCTGATGTCGCTTTCACAAGCAAAACAAAATATGACCGATGTAAACGATCAATTATATAAATATAAAAGAGGTTGTCGAGGACTCTCAGCTAGAAAGTGCTAATCTATAGAAGAAGATTATATGTATACACATTATATAGTTATAGTTTATGCTAAAATTGTAAAGAACACAGTCATAAATAAAGATATTGGAGACAGATGATTGAACAGAAAACTAACAAACATTTCAAACAGCAATGCAAATATAAGCTTACCGTTATTTAGAAGTTAACCAAAGGATCTTAACGCTACAAACCCTCGTAAAATATTAACAGCAATGACCCCTCAACTTTCTCACGTATTGTAAAATACTTGTTTATATGGTAGACCACGTCCCGCGACTTTTAGCTCTTTTAACAATGAACGTTCTGACGTTTGTTATGAATGTTCTCCACTCCATAACAATGTCACGAAAATACCATTCCATATTCGAAAAATTCACAAACTACGCTTATTTGTTAGTTATCTGATAACCTTGAAATTTAACGGTCGCGGTTCCTTGCTACTCATTCTTAAATCTTTTGATACCATGGCACGTACAGATTTTTTTGGCTTTTTTAATCTAAATTTTTTGTGGAAGTTGAAAAAGTTCATATTCTATGACGGTGATGTGGATGCCACCATATTTTCGATTTATGAGATTCAAATAAACTAAAATTACTTTATTGACTTTATACACCGTACATGCATCTGTTTATAAAAATAAGGATCCAGTAAGGCTATTTTTGTCAAGGAAGTTTGTACTAAATGAGCTAAAATGTCACATAAATACAAAACCAGAATTTGTCGCTTTACCTGCTTGACTGTCCGACTGAATTGGAGCCCATTAAAAATCCATTGGAGCATTTTAATGGTACGTGCTGTTTCGAACATAACGACAGCTATTATAAATTTTTGTTCACAAGGAAATAATTACTCTAACCGAGTGCACTTACAATTATGAGCTGTATAGAGTTGTAAACTTCTGACTTCTCGTTACTAACAGTCAGTATCATGCAATTTTAAAGACATTTAACAATTTCATAACCAAAATAAATCCTGCATTTCACGTTAATTCTCTTGTTTTACTCAAACCGTGTTTCTTTAGTCCGTTACGTTTTCTCCACTGACATACGAGTCAGTAGTTTCAACGGGAAAAATACAGAACATTGACTTGGTAAGCACATATGTTTGCATGCCAGAGTATATCTTTGTATCTTCGCTTATCTGCTCCGGTATCCATCGGATTTGCATGAGGCAACAATCGCCCTCTATCCTACCGGTAATTAGAAACTTGCGAGTAACGGTACGCAATTTGTAGGTAGCACTTGTACAATATAAAAGCTTCGTTAGCTTCCGCATTACAAACGCTAACCGTTTCCAGATTTTTTCTATCACTACTACTATGTGGCACATCCGTGATGCCTTTACATCGCAATTATTTTTCTTAACTACTTTGCTTTGCCATGTCGGTCCAATTTGATTCGTAAATAAATACCAACTATTAACGAAAGCTTAACAATACCAACAACGTTACATCCAGTCTTAAACGACGCAGTGATTCGGTCAAGATCAAGTACATGACTGGCAAGGTATGTAGGTAAAGTTGCGTGTGTTATGATAAGTACCTTTACGGTCTATTATGCTAGCTCGCCGATAGCTGACTCTGTTGTCACACAAGTATGACAATGCCGCCAGTGATTGATGCGATAGTAATTTCCCGCACACCGTTGTTCGTATCCGATACGATTCGGATTGACGCAGACCACACGGCGGTACAGCGCGGCTGCTCTATTCGCCGTGCTCCTAATCACTATAATTGAGCGTTATCACTACAACGGTTCCGGGATACTTGCGCTTAACTGCAAATAAATTAGTTTACACGTCACTTACCAATGCAGCCGTCAGGCAGAGCATACAATACTCCACCCAAGGTGGACGAAGCAGATACAGCAGTCGTCTGTGCAGGCGCTTCTTCACCTTCACCAGACTCAGTTTGAGCCGGTTCAAACAGAGCAAGGTCCAAACCGTCCATGTCACTGCGATTAGATACACCATCCTCTTCCGCCACTCGATCACAGAAATGTTCCGGAGAGTCGACATCCTTAGGACTCCGACTACACACACCGTCACTTAATGGATCGCAACAACACGTGTCCGAGAACGGTTCAAAGTCTCTACAATCAAACTCACATCGTTCAAAACTGTCACAGGTGCATGATGATAATGCATCCGAATCGGATTCTTCCACGAGGAAGACATCATTACTTTGCACTACCTCTTTCCGTGCTGCTTCGGTTTTTGCGGAGATATAAAACACACTCGAAGCGTATGGCACTTTTTGAACTTGTAGTGTTAAATTATCCGTCAAATTGCCATCAGTGTAAGCCTGATCCTCGGATTCTGACAATATCTCATCGATGTGTGGGCGACAGTCCTCGTATCGTGCAAAACTTGAGGTATCGGTGAGATTAGATGAACGGTCCACAGAGTAAACATCTGCATAGGGATCAATGGATTCACTCTGCAGAGCTGGTAATCTGTAAGGAGCGTGATGTGATCGGCCACCCAGGAATATGGTGGTGTAGGGGCAGGTGTGGTGCGGTCTGCTGCGGTCGGCGCGGCGCGGGTAGCTCGCAGCCAATGGGTCACGCATGGGCGCCCCTTCAGTGTCTATGAATGCCTCGTTGGTCGAGAGCACGTTGTATCGCCAATCTGGCATTGCTGTTGACAACCATCACTTTACAACGACACAAAATAGAACTGATGTTTTCATCTGAGGGTCACAACCACATTGGTAAACTAACCAGACTTTAACACATTATGTCACAAATAATTTTGTTCAACCTAGAAAAAATATCTGAGTAAATTTCTACTGTCGGTGTTTACAGTTGTACAAACATGCGCTGAAGTGTTCTTAGAACCGATTCTCCATATAATTTGAGTCCTTTTGTTTACGTCGACTACCGTTAACTATTTATAATAGTGTATTTTGAAACAAATTAGTCAGTGAAACCGTATAAGATACGAAAAGCCCGCATCGCCTCATGCTGATATCGACGTCACCAGTTACAACTTATAATATTTTTAATATATCCCTGCCATGCCAGGCAGGGATATATTAAAATACACTATTATAATGTTATATGATATAAGCAATATATCATATAACATTATAATAATGTTACATGATATAAGCAATAACATAATGCCTGACTGATTAATTTTAGAGAGCAAACACGCTAATCGAAAACGCGGCGCCGTTGTTAATGGGTGAAACAACTTCAAATAGAACGACTGTGATGTGGGTCAGAAAGCTGCGCGTAATAAAACCAAACAATGAACATATGCATATAACATGCACACTACATGTCTCACGAACTCTGATAACGTTACAATAACTGTTAAGAAATAATATCCATATGGAATAACATCCATTGATCCTATAAATAGTCTAACCGATATCAATAATCATAAGATGGCAAAGAGTCTTTCGTGGTCTTTCATTACTTGTGTTCGTAATACAAACTAGAGTACGTGCATTAATATAGGTAATTTATACAAAGAGGTTTGTATTAAAGTTGCCGGATGTATTTGAGACTGGTTGTAGATATGATAACAGGTCCAGTGCTTTACGGTATCGTATCGACGGACCCGTTACGTTCGAATTATTTGGACTCGCGTCCGTTACGAAACTCTTACTAAATTATTTTACTCTTACACGGCTAATGTAATTGATATAATTATGTTCGAAATGAGTTTCTATGTTCTTATAAAGATGAATCATTTTATATGGTGCCTCGCTCCGTGACTAGTTTGATACTTTTGACCGGTTCCATTTCCTTTCTTACGTTGAATTCCTTGCGCTAAATGTTGGTCAAATAGTTCTGCATATTTAATTTATTAGAGTTCATTTTACTTTAAATTAAATTTAGATAGATGTAGCCCCGTTTAAAAGGCTGCATTTACTGATGGCTTCGACCAGACTGAGTACGAAATAATCTAGGACGGTGTCTGGCATGGCAGAAAGCACGGTCTCTAAAAAATCTAGCATAAATTGTGTGTAGATCCCCTGTAAATATCTTTGGATTAAAAGCAATGTAATCTTCTCGTATCTATATCCTTTTTTGTCCAAAATATATTTGTGTGAGCTCTACTACGAAACAAAATAAAGGAGTGAGCGACTAGCCCGTATAGTGTACTAGTGGGATCAATTGGTCCCTTAGTTCAAATTAATTGTCATTTGTTAGGACATTATTATTTAATCAAGCGTTACATAGCCAAGCCCGAGTGTTTGTATCGTCTCTATGATAGCCTGAAGTTTTAAAGATTTTAGAAATTCTTACAGGCAACGTGACATCTTTTAATTTTGTTCAATTTTCAGAAACCCATTTCCATTTGTTGTGCATCATCAAAGTATATTAGGCTTTTATTAAATCCCAACTTACGTTTCTAATGGGGAACTATAAAAATGTTTAAAATTTCACACTTTTCATCCATTAAACAAACGGCAGTAAGTGAATTAAGGGTCAATGGCTGCAAGTCGTGCTTAGGAAACGCAATTATTTTGTAAGTACCTTGAAAGATGTTATAGCGGCTTAGTAATAAGAGATGGAACGTCGTGACCACTAATGCTGTAAACTTTTGTAAAAAAGAAATGTCCACGAATACCAGTTTAGCAAAGAAATCACGAAATATGCAGAAGGTAGACATTTATTATCTACATACATCCTGCTTAAGATGTTTGCCTACATTCGAATACGAGATTTGGGGATTTTATCGTTTAGGTCCGAACCGATAAAGAAGGCACAAATGAGCTGGCTCGACCGGAGTGAAACCACGGCCTCAGAGAAAACCGAAGTGAAACAACGCTTGCGGTGTGTTTCGTCGTTGCGGTTACCGGAGGCCCAATTACCCACCTCCCCAAACTCCCCAATCCTCAAATTCCTAATCCCCAAAACACCTATAACACACTAGTAATGCCTGTGGAGTTTCAGGTGTCCATAGGCGCCAATTGCTTACCATCAGGTGACAAGTATGCTCGTTTACCGGTTTATCCCATAAAATAAAAATAAATAGTATTTTTGGGAGTCATCAAATCATAACAAAATAACTATTTATTACTCTAGACAGATGTGCTTTTACGCCATGAATGTCATGATATAACATTTGAATATGGAAAAGTAGGGCTCTAGCCCACGCTCGTTTTTGTCAAATCAATCATAGGAGACGTATGACCACTGTTCTAACTTTGAATCGTAGCACACTGAAATTAAAATATATTTTAGCAAACTAAAAAAAAACTATTAAGACTACAACATTAAAACACTAATTACGTATTATCTGTACATTTATCTCGTTCCTAATATAAATTACTTTTACTTGACAGTTGATTTTAATCACAGAATTTAAAGAAAACAAATAGCAACACTTCACGGGTTGTTAATTATTTAATGTGTAATTAATTAGAATGCGAATTATTTATATTTTAATGGTACAAGTGTAATTTGCATGTGTTTTACATGTTAGAAAAGATTTCGTTGTTCGAGCTGCGCAGGCGCATAGCGGTCGTAGGCTCGTAGGCACGTGCTACAATTCTCGAGGCTCGATGCGGTGGGCGACAAAAAACATCAGTTAACCACGGTCAATGAACGAAAATAACCAACCATTTTACTCGTATACCTGCGCACGCGTCGGATACCAATAGGAAATGCTCTACATCTATCATTAAATAAATCACCCCGTAGAATAATATAGAATAAACTATTTCATAATATGAAAACGCTCTAAGACCATGTTCACGTATGTCTATAAAAGTAAGTCGGTAAAAAGCTAATAATGAATTTTATTATAATAGTGTTGTACAAAAACAGATCATAAAATAGACATTTTGTTAGAATTAAAAAGAAAACTATATACGTTTATAGCTCACTAGATATTTTATATTACCAATTTATAAGGTTTAAGTTATAAGTATTTTCTAATACTCTATTAAATAATATAGGAAAGTATTTACAACTCGTTAACGTAGTGTTAACTTTTATTATGTAATTTGAAGTTAAAAGTGGAAAATGTATCCACTTTTTAATGTTGTATAGCCATGTGAAATGTAACGATAATTGCATAAGTTTGTTCGCCAAATGCTCTAATGGTGTCCACTCGTGAGATATTTTCTAACAGTTACTTTAGAGAACTGATAAAGATAATAAACGAAGATGTCATGTGTTAAATAACTGTTAAAAATTTAGTTTAGACTATAATGTCATCCCATACCTTATCTGCCACCAAGTTCAAAAGCCTCAGAATGAAGAATTATTATGTTTTTGAAAATTTCCATAACACATAACGTTTGAGGATGCGAATGTACTCGTATGCAATTAGTATTATAAAAAAGCTTGGTATCCATTACTTTTATATTAATGAATATTATCTAACCACAAGAAAAGATTCTATGTAAATACATTGGTATTGAAAAACAAAGCAAGTGGGTTTAGTGGGTGTATTAAAATCGTAAAATAGCCATATTCCTGTACTTGAGCGCTAATGGTAGTAGATAAATAGTAAAATAGTAAAGTTTATATGGCAAGTGAGCTATTTATTCAAAGTGCTGATGCTTTGTGTTGTTTTGTGGACCATCAAGTAACCTAACCGCAGACAAGTTCATTTATGGTAAAAGGCCTGCTTTACAATAGACATCTATATGACTTGGTATGTGAAGGAATGTTACTCAGTGCACCAACAAATACAGTAGAATGCGGAAGGCAAGTCTCTGGTAGGTACTCATTGAACTGTAAATAAAAATCAAGAAAACGCTCTGAAATCAATTTGAAGATACAATAACTTTAATCCAGATTCTTATGCATCAGCATTCACCAGCATTTGCAAAACAAAATAACGAGGCAACGAGACCAAATTAATTTTCTAAACCACAATTAATTTGTGTCTAAATCTAAATATTTATTCGACTACTAAATTCACTTTCTATTTTATGGATATTCGCGAAACATTCTAATGATATAAATATAAAATTTTGCATTCGATTTTCTAAATGTTCGTTAGGAAAGTCGGTCTAGACAGAATGTAGCCGACCCCCTTTGGGGAAAGCTCCCGAGAGATTTGACGATGACGCGCGGCCGACGTCGGTGATGTATGGTAAACACCGGTGAGACTGTGAGAGTCACCCATTATGGGGAAAATTAAACCAGGTTTACTATTAATATTGCCTAGCAACTAATATTGATATTATTAACGTAACATAAAAGTATCGCCCCTCGTGTTGTCGTAGTAACGTAGGGAGCTTTCGTAGCAAACGTTACTTCAGTGTTAGAAAAATGGAGTCAATATTATCGATGTTATTGTTGGAAGTAAATTGTACTATTGAGCAAATGGAATATATTAGGTATATTATAAGTTACATTTCTTGGTATGAGGTATAACAGGGTTCCGATAAGCATACCACTCATAGTAAGTTTCCTGATACACAAATAAGGAAAGTACCTAAGTCAAATTCCATAACAAACTATATTTTAATCGTTTTTACAGAATTAGCTAGGTATACGGTTATTTCTCATAGCAGTGAGTAAACACTTAGCGGGAAAACTTTTTCCTCAATGTCAAGTCTAACTGCAGGCTACGTCAAGTCTCATACGGTTCACAGAACTAATATCAATAATAACTCATATACAGCAAACACTAGAATTAAACATAGCAACACTAACGGAATAAATAAATATACTTAGGTACCTTAACACATGTCAAAGTCTATACATGAAGAATGTAAACAATACTTTAAATCCAGCGCATGTAAAGTACAAAACATGTTCTTCAAAAACTTTCAATTGAGGTAAATCCAATGAATGACACATAAATAAAACACCGACAGTAGTAAACATATACAAGTAAAAAGCTAGAAAACTCGTACCGAACGCAAACACTGAACTTGACACTGGACGTAACGCTGTCACTGACAATAGTGATACGACAATGGACAGAGACCGTTTGATTCGAATGTTTCGATATAATTCGTTTCGTAGATGACGCGCGGCACAGAGGTGCGCGTGGCTGATCGCGCTCGCACCGACTGGTGCGCGCTGCGGCTGCGCGGAGGGCGCTCGGGCGCTCGTCCACAGAGCCGCTCATCTGTTCGCAGCTGGTCGCCCGCGCCGACGACGTACGGACCGTTACCACTCGTGAGGGACACCAATTCCAAGTCACAAACAAATCCCATTTGATATTCATGAATTCATGTCAACTATTAAACACGTAACAAAGGATTTCAATTGAACGCACCTATCCATAGCGCAGGCCTGTCAACACTTTAAAACTAGTTTGCGCGACTAGATTCACAATTGACTAGGGCTAGGGAGCACACAGGGGCATTACATCATTAAACCATTTTTATAATCCAGAGATTTACAATAGAAGGCAGATACATGGTATTTTTATTCTGTTCAAATAGTACAGGGGTTGCTACAATCCCACAATATTGTCTATTAGGGCGTCAAAAACTTTTTTTAATATGGCATCGTAATGCTAGTTGGCACATAAGCGCAACTTTATCGTGGATTTCGAGCGGTGGACCGGTTCAATTCTGATATATTTGCATTTAACCGCGTTGGGATCCAACGAGGAGAGACAACAGCCGATGCCTGTTAAGCCGAGATAAAAATAGTACAAACAAATGAACATGCAGTGTGTAAGCAATTTCACACTGAGCGTTTATAGCAGTTGTGCAAGGAAATTGTATTGTGTTGCTTAATAGAGCTTAATTGAAAAGTCAAAGGTCCCTTATCTTCGACCATTATGGTCCGCAACGATTACTGACACGATATTGTGCGACGGCACATATCTACTCTATATTTACTAATTGCACAATCACATATTATATTTCGTTGACATTAATTCGTGCAATTTGCATAAGTGATTTTAAAATCATTATAGTAATTAGGATAAATGCAAATCTGACTCCACAACCGCAAAGCAATATCGTGACATAGCAACAACACACTAAACTATAGGTTACCATTAATAGAATCGACATCACGGAAAATTAATTGCAGTTAATTTAGACTGCCCCTAGGCCCCTAGTCAGGAAGGGTGGCCATGGAACTGATAGGATTAATGGTCACTAAATCCCGTCATTAGTCAGAAGGGCACACCACTACGGATTTAGCGAAGCCCTTCACTTTGATCACGATACTTACAGAATGAAGGTTTGTGTAAAATTAATGTGGAAGCATCGTCATAACATACTTATGGGCAGGTGCATCTTGTTTGGACATGTCACTCAACAACTTTCAAAGCAAAGCAATAAAGGGCCTTATAAGAAAAAGCAAAAACTTATACGTAAGACTACATCATCATTGGATTTTTGTTTCAATAATATTTTTAATATGCTGTGATTATTTATTGAGTCTATGCAATAGGGGAGTATATCTCTCTACAGCTTTCTAATTATCTCCAAACATCTCTTGTATATATTATGATTTCACACACTTACAAACCTGTTAAAATATTACTAAAGATTAATCGTTATAAATCGTAGATTCATAAGAGTATTCGAATCTCTAAAACCTATTGACACAGTAATGAAATGATCTTGTTTAGTAAACGATCACGAATCACGGTGTATCCATCTTTCACACGGGAAGCGATTGTTTGCCGACATCTCCATAGCAGATGGTTACTCGTTATTGCTCCGTCAATATTGAAGTTTACAGTAGGTCACCTAAGTAAATAATTTCTGGACATTTTATATTCTGACCATCACCCCACTGTTTAGAATTTGAATGTGATAACAAGGACCAATGCTCTTTCGACACAGTTCTACCTTTTTTTAAAAAAAATGATGGACGTGGGACTTTTTCGTCAATATAATTGTAAGATGGCTACAATATTGCAGAAGTAAATATAGGACAAGACATTAAAAACATGACGCCAACAGACAGTATCACTCACTACTTAAAAGGAGTCATTCCCATTTTAAAGCTCTATGAGTCAATCCACTGGCAAAGTTCATATGAAATCATTCAAAGTCGAACAAAAAAGGCTTTAGTTTCCAATCCATAAATAATAGGACAAGTAGTGTCTCACAATAATCTTAAAATTGCAATATTTTGTTGTGTTGACACAGAACTTCACGCTTTTACACAACCAAATTCTTCAATCTCTTACAAAGGTTTCGTTCAAACCACTATATCATTGTTGTCGAAGCATCAACATTCTATCTCTAGTAGGCACAAACTTGGCTCTAAACCAAACATTATTTACTCAAAGTCATTGCATCGAATACGCATTGCTACTTTACATCGTTAGCAAACCCATTTTCAATACATCACTATTTTGTATCCATCGAGAAATCATATCACGCGTCTCTAGTGGCCAGTCGCCAGTGTCGTCTTATGACACCAATGAGGTTGTAACGCATATAACTTAACACGTTCTTCACGATGTGCCACAAATGTGAACATAACAAGAACTAACTGTGTATCTATGATCAGCCTACTGATACGCAAATTGGGTTCCCGATTTGAAGACAACACTGTGCTATTCTCAATTGCAACCAATATACCTATAGAGGTATAGAATTATAGATCAATCGATCATAAATATTACAAAAAATGATTATCATTGAACTATTACATGAAATACCTACTGGCGTTTAAAGACAAGTGCTTAGTGTAGTTTCAGATTCCCTGACTGAAGATTTCCAGATTTGATTAGCCACATTATGAAAAAGTGCAATTCACCACTCACCGATAACCTATCCTATTTCATCTATACAGAAAAAATTAATAAAAAAGCTTAATAATGTCATAGCTAACGTAACTTAACTGCAATAATGGAAGAACGTAGTATCACTTCACCGGAATAATAGACAACACGTCATTTTATATCCAATTATGGGAACTGCAACATCAGATCGCCTCTACAATTCTCACTGCAAAACAAATGCATTCATCGAATTTCATTGACTGGCTCGCCTTCGTATCGCCAATATTTTAGGATCATAGCGATCTAAGGATGAAATCGGAGAATATTTCACGTCATACAAACAAATGATACGTGGGCGATGCGGTGTGAATAGCATTATAACACGCAGTTCCTCAATCTTGCACCAATTAGAAGGAACAATAACACCCACGAGAACTGAATAGGTACCTAAGGACTTTAGAAATCAAATAATGACGGTGTCAATGACCGTATGTACATTAGCGATCTACGAAGCTTCTTGTTCGCGTTTTGAAATAATTACATGAATACATGTGGTAAGCACGTTATGTTTAGTTAGAGAGATTGACCCTATTTTTATGGTACGTGTTTAATGTTTTTATCAAACACGAACTTTTATGGGCATCATTTTCAAATATCACCGTTCTGTTATTACGTATTAGTGACGGAACTGAATTTGATACAAATTATCAGCAAAAATGTTGACAAAAAAAATTTAATTACTCATTCATTCATCCTGAAATAAGTTTTTGCAAACCATCACACAATGCAAGACGTCTTTAGTAACAATAGTCATCAAACTTAAAACTGAAAAAAAATCCTTGAAAGACGTCTTATACATTTTCCCATAGAATAATCGAAATGATGTGACAGGTGACCTGTAATTTATCATATCTATAAAATCTCTAGACAAAATAAAAATACATTTTAGTAGCACGTACAAGTTATATTAATTTTACAAACCGATAAATTATCAATTTATAAAAGTACAATATTGTTTACTAGCGCCATCTGTTATCGAATAGAATGTACGATGATAAGCACCGCCATCTAGTTTGTTCATTTATAAACATGATAGCAATTGACATAGTTGTCTGACAAATGGTGTATCTACTCAATCATAGATGGCGCTGTAATAAGATTTATTGTGGTAATGTAAAAGTAAAAAAGCTAATCAACAACAGATATTAAAAAAATCGACTAGAAACAATACAAAAAGTTATTTAATAATCTTTTAACGGATTGTAATAAAGTAACCAGTTAAAAATTATACCGTAACAGAACGCAGAAACTAAGTTCTAACATTGAACTTAGTTTCTGCGTTCTATTGTTTATTTAATAATTTTATTGTTGTCAAAAAAAGGTTGTGACAAAAACTACATAAATAGAGAAGCTATTCTTATATAAACCACTTAACACATTTTTAGGATGTAAACACTAAACATGTTTGGACTCGACATTGAGTATTTAGTCATCTTTAATAAAACTTTATGCATCTCCTTCATAATAAATATAGTGTTATTGACCTTCAGGTAAATGGCTTGTGACTCAGTAAATATGACTCTTACCTACAAGTTGTGTGTCAAGAGCACGTTACGTCAAAATTAACTTACACCATAAACACAGGTACTGCTTATTGTGCTATCTTATCCAATCTATGATCAAACCTAGGTCACTTTCATCTACTTTAATGAAAAGGTGATCAGTACCCACGTTCAATAATATTGTCTAAATATTTGCATAGGTAGGTACGTACCTACCTAGATTAAGAAGAGGAAGTAGGTACTTATAGGTATTAAAACACAATCAAACTCCTACCACACATAACTGAAGACATTAATAAAATAATTTCCTGAGTGTTTTATTTATAAACTTTACTTATTTGACTTTAAGGAAGATTTAAGGTCTTGAAGTCATGTTATATTGACGTAAACAAGGTATTCGCAATCCTGCAGCTTAACGATTGTACACGCAGCTTAATCTTACGCTACAAGACTCTTCCATTAACAGATATCATTCGCGGAGCCTACGTAGGTACTGACTTACTGTCTCACTGAACACGTATAAGTTACAGAGCTCGAGTTATGTGTCATACAAAGTATGCATGTAAGTCGAAATAACAGGTGGCTTAGCTTAAAGTCAAAACATGCTCATTGGCCGCGGTTAGTATGCGCAACCGTTACGATGAGGTCACTGTTAGCGCAGCACCACACGTCCGGCTGGGTATCGCAGCGGCAGGACACGCCGCGTCCTTCCTCACCCATCCTAGTTCGACACAAACACCAGACTCCCCGATTCGCCTAGCACGGCTAGCACTCTTTGCAGTCCCGTTACATTATTTGCACATCATCAA